ATTTTGTTCCTATTTTGGTTTTTTTGCTTGCTTTTGTTCCTTCACTAATGCATACTCGTTGTGTTAGATGCTATATAGAAAGGTTTGTTGAAGTCCGGCAGCACAAAACTGGTTTTAAATTTCCACCTTTTTTTAGTTGTTAGTTTTTTTTTTTCTTGCATCGCGGCTACATTCATTAAATCGGAAGCTGTTATTTGTGCAGTGAATACACTGGTAGAAAATAACTTTTCTTGTTTTGTTAATTTGAAATTTTTTCTATTCCAAAGCAGTTTTCCACAAGCCTAGAAGTTCTATCCGGATTTTTTGAATATCCGAGTAATCCCGTTTAAAAAATCCGAATATTTAGATAACGTGTTTTTGACCGGGTAACCGGATAACCAAATTACCGGGTATTAGCCGGATATCCGAATACCTAAACAAATTGATATTAACCGGATATCGGGATTTAAACCGGATATTTATCTGGATAACAAATGGGAACCATTATTAACCGGGTATACCGATTTTATCCGTATACCCGAATATCCGTATATGCGAGTATACGCAGAGTTCCAGCCCTAATAATCAGTAATCTCCCATTTCTCCAAAACCCTCAAAGAACGTGTTATTAGGGCTTAAAGGCTATATGGTTGCGACCTCAGAATGAAGGGGTAATTGGTTAGAATATTAGTGAGAAATAAGTGAAATTATCCAAAATGGTCCACGAATAGAAAGTTAAGTAGGATTTCTAAGGTTTCAGTAGGTACGGACTGAACTTTGAGGAGCCTAGAATTAGTGGACGACTTTTCTAATGATATTCAACAAACAGTTCCGCCATGTAGTAAGGCATGTCATACTGCTGTATCTTTGACGTTGAGCTGCCAGGTCAGTTTTCAGTCAAAAATGGCGTCCAAGCATTTCACTTCATTTGCCTATAAGTCTATGAGCAGCGCCAGTAGAAGCAGCTTTTGGCGAGTGTACAAAAACTGAAGATATGATAAATTCCAATTCCCACAGGTATCTTAACTGGTCGTTGTAGATTAGAAAGCCACCTACACAAACTCGGGACATGGTCTAACAATTTACGATGTTTTTGTGGCAATGCAGTTGAAACTTCGGAACACTTACTCCTCGAAAGCGATGCAGTGTCGTAAAGATGGGAGAAATACCTCGAGTCATTCAGTTCGGAGCGACAAAGCTCTCGATGTCATCAAACAACCTACTGGATTTTCTAAGGAAATTAGGACTGAACGAGCTGTTGTAATAAGCAAGACTTGGTCATAGTGCACATCTTAACAAATGTATATCTCGCCTGCAAATATAACTCATACTTCGGCAATATTTGACGCACCGCTCGCCGGAGGAAGGCGCTAGAAAGACCAAGTGAAGAGGAGAGACCAATTGGGTGCGGTTGAAATGCCGAAGAAACGACTGGCTCGCTTTGTATAACTCGGCCAAAATCGCTTAGCCGATTAGAACCCAATAAAGAAGAAGAATCAGTGCAATACATTTTCAATTCCTAGTAGTGCTCTAAATTTTAACGTTGTACATTAAGGTGCATGACTCTCCATGCCAAAAAAGAGAGGTAGTGTTTTTCAATCGGAAATTTTTGTATAGAAAGTTATTGGAAAATTTCATGATTTTCAATTCGAACGAAAACAAGAATACGCCCGATTGTATTCTAAGACTTTCGCCAAAAATTTCGGAAACAATTTGTGATTTACGTGAGCTGGACTATTTCAAAATACCTAAAAAATCGTTTTTTTTTTATAAATAAAATAAGTTTTTAAAATATTTAACACGTAAATCGTAATATTTTTTGGAAGTAATTTGACAGAAGTCTTAAAAAATAGTAAGTGTTTTAATCCGCTAAGAGACTTGCAACTTTTTTGGTGATGCACTCTAATGTGTAATGTATGAAATTACGAGTATTATTTAAAAAAAAAATACCACTTAAATTAGCAAAAGACTATTTTTTACCCTTAAATCTCCGCAGTACCGCACTAAGGGAAGCTAATTCGTCAAAACGAGTTTTCCTTTTATTTGCAGTTTGCAAAAGTGTGCAAAAAAATAACAGAATTAAAAAATTTGCAGCCGTTATCTTAAATACTAATATTGGCGCGTGCCAAAAAATTATATATGCCAACACGATCTTATAAATAGACATTACAAATTAGCAAAAACAACCCTTTCGCGTGTCCAGCACACAAAAAAAAAAACAGAAGAGAAAAAAATTCAAAAGCCAAAACTGACCACTCGACTGGCCGCTCAGCTTGCAAAGTGTGGCTTTATTCCACCCTTTGTACACAAAATTCCGCACAATGACTACATATCTTATCTACGGTATTTAACGGATGCGCGTGGCATTATTTGATTTGCATATGAATACAAAAATTTATTGCACTACTAGCTGCATACAGTGGGATCGCTCTAAAATTAATTCCCCTATAACGAAGACTCCGCTGCAGCGGTGTTCTTTTTTTAACAATGCGATTTTTTAGCATTTTTTTTTTTTTGTGTTCATAAACGCTTACCGATATATGTATGTATGATAAGTGCAAAAGCATTTTTTTTTTACTCAACTCCGTATAAAATCTAAAATTTCATAAATCGCCAACTTGTCGATAGTTAAAAATTAATTGTTTTTTTTTTGCGAAAATGATTGATCGCCTTCGCTTTGGCAATAGCCCTGCTTACATATGGCAGACCGTCTTCAAAAGAGGCACAACTCTAAAGAAAATGTTGGTCGATTCTTTTGCGTAAATCAATTCGAAGAATTATTATCAAATAAATGCAAATATTTTTTTTTTTCTTCGTGATTATAGTTTCTAATTACAAAACTTCTGTTACGCCTGTTTTTGTATCAATTGCTTTGAATCTCTACGATCCACAAGCAGCTACATACGTATATTGCCGTATCTGATTTTAGAGTTATGCCTCTTTCGAAGGCGATGTGCGATATGTACCTACGTGTATCTATTAGCGCCGGCGGTAACGCTAATGATTTGCATATTTTTTTCATTATTTTTTTTTTTAACGCAGTTACTCTGGTAGCTAGCGTGTGCCACACCGGAAGAAAGGATGAGTGTGAGCTTGTGGGGAAGGTGTGACAACGTTGTACATAGATAATTTGCATAGCATTTTTTCTGGTCACAAATGTTTAGTGGTACGTAAATGTAGCTACATACAAACATATGTACATATATTTTATTTTATTTTTTTTTATATGTGGGTTAAAACATATTTGAGTATGTACCCAGTGGGAAAAGGTAGTGTTAGGGAATGCAAAAAGTAATGGATAGCCCCTATAATCTATGCAGCTATGAAAAAAACATACTTGAGTTGCTTCTCAAACTCTTTGTTTGTGTGTGTGTGGCTTCGAAACTACACATCATCCGCTCGCTTACATTGCGATGCATCTTTCCGTTCAAACGTAGTTGTTAATCTTTTCTTGGTAGAAAAAGGTAATGTATTCCCCTTTTTGCCACTGGATAACATATATATAGACTTTGTTACTAACCTTCCGCAGTGGCTGTTTCAGTATTTTTCATTCTGTACATCACATCATCATATCACATGTTTGAAGACTGTGTGGCAATGTGATGTCAAATCACATACGCATGTACATATCGTCGCCTGGGTTAAAGATTGTCGTAAGCGCCATTTTGACGATTTTTAGTTCTAGATGCACTTATATATTTTGAAATAAGGTCTTTCGATTGGTGTCATCAGTTTTTAGATATCTCCTTTAGATACTGACTACAACTTTTTCGATAATTTAGTAAACATTTAGTTGGTGATGCAGTCATATTAAACTAACCAATATCTTAGAAATGGCGTTCTCCATTTTTAGATATCTCCTTTAGTTTCCGAGATATTGAGTAAAATGTGTCGGTAATTTGGTAGAAATTTTGATCACATTTTGTCGCATTTCATACAAAGTGGACAAATGACGCTTACGGCAAAATTTTACTAAAGAAAATCCTTCATAAACTCAAAACTAATTAACAATAAACATTAAAAATTAAATAATTTAAGAATTTTGTGAAATAGTAACATTTTCAGAGACTTTGGAGAAAATCTATCTTCGCATTTTTGACAAATTGCATTCCAAACTACAATCACGATTTCCCACAACCTGCCGAAATTAACATACGACAATCTTTTACCCAGGCGACGATATGAATTTTGATATGATATCATAAGATCAAAGCAGTTAATAAGATGCAAGCGAAGTGATATTTCTTGTATGTACCTACACATGTACATATGTATGTATGTACTTCTGTATGCATACACAAGTAAGCGACGTTGTTACGAAAACGATTCAACCATACAATTTCTTGCTATCGCTTCCTTGGAGTGCTGCTTACTTTGATGTTTAACGCCTTTTATGCTGGTCGCACTGCTTCCGATTGTTTAATCAGCTTCAAAGTATGTATTTATGTGGTAAGTTATGCAGCCATATTGCCTATTGCCTTTACATTTCGCCAGCAGTTAGGCTCTTGTTACCGGAAGAGCCCATATTTGATTATAAACATCCGGTCAACTGCCATCACCTTATCAACATTTCCGAAAAATGTATGCTTTTGCATGTAATGGAACGGTTTTGTGTGCATGAAAGCACTATATTTAAAAAATTCCACACTCAATAAAGTTGCAAAAATGTATTTTACTATAAAACGCGCCGAATACAAAAAATTAAATGGCCTTTCCCAAATGGATAACCGTATGCATGGCATGCAGTAGCATAAATAAATCGACTTTTCAAAGCGATCGATTGCAACCAATTAGTCGTTGCATCAAAGGTATATGGAAGAATTTATACATACATATACATGACTTCGTTATATGTACGTTGCCAAAGGAGCACCTTTATTGCCTTTAGTGTGAGTTTTTAATAATTTTTTTTCCAGGTACCCTTGAATTTTTGTTCGCTTAATTTTACGATAAATTTGTTAAAACACTAATCGGCAAAACGATACCAATTTCATTCTTTATTTCGCGCTCATTGTGAATGATCGCCGTGAAAAGAAGTGGTTATTTAAAAACATGTTTTTTGCAGCAGACTTATTAAATGGATATAAATCACGAATTTACACAAATAACTGAAAAGGAGGCAGGAAAATTAGCCACCAAACGGAAAATTGCAATTCCCGATAATGACAGTGAACGCGAAATCAAGAAAACAAAGTTACAGATTGCCTCCCTGACTGCACCGATAACAGCGGAGTCTGGTTGCAATGCAACGATTACAAACGTACAAAATTGCGCGGCAGGAAGAAGTGTTTTACCAGCCAAAGCTGTAGCACATCAAAGTCCTAAGAAGCGGTTACAAATAGATACAACATCTCCTAGCGGCTCACAACGAAAACAAGCCAAGGAGCGATTTATTTATGGCAACTATAGCCAGTATTATGGATATCGAAATAAGGGGTGCGAATGTCGTGACATACGTCTGGAAGTATTTGCAACGCAACCTGAATTATTTCAAGGCAAGGAAGTGCTTGATATTGGTTGCAATAGTGGTCTAATAACCATGGAAGTAGCAAAACGGTTTGTGGTCAAAAGCATTGTTGGCTTGGACATAGACCGCACACTTATCAACCAAGCGAATAAGGCGCTGGTACGACAAAAGAAAACATTGCCTTTGGTAAATGAGTCACGGCGTTTACAACGTTTCCCCTACAATGTAAGCTTTGTGCATGGCAATTACGTGCTACGGGATGACATATTACTTGAGATTGAACACGAACAATTCGATGTTATACTCTGCTTATCGATAACCAAGTGGATACACTTAAATTTTGGAGATGCAGGCTTGAAACAAGCTTTTCGGCGTATGTTTCTGCAACTGCGAAGTGGTGGCAAGCTTATATTAGAAGCGCAGCCATATGATAATTACGGGCGTCGAAAGAAAATGACTGTAGGTGAAAATAGTATAGGAGACGACTCACTGTGTAACTTATATGTATATGAATTTATTTTTCAGGAGGCCATCAACGCCCATTATAAGGCTATGCAGTTCTTTCCCAAAGATTTTACAGGCTTTTTACTTTCCACAGATGTTGGATTTGAAAGCGTGGATTTGATGGGTATACCTCAAGGATGTGTAGAAGGCTTTAAGCGACCTATACAGATATTTCACAAAAAGAAATAACACAATGCTGACTGTGATAATGGTACTAAAGCTAAGAGTTTTGAATTTAATAGGCCTTCATTGTGTATATTCTTAGGAAAAAAAGTCTAGTACAAATATTTCGATTATGAATTAAAAAATACGTATGTATGTAATAATAATAGTATTTTGAAAATGAGTTTCAAATAAAAATATGAGCAATTTTATAAAGAAAATTGTAAAAACCACCTCTGCTGTTATTATTTTACGGTTTACATCATTGCGATTTGCGTTTTTTATTTGGCGTGGCGGGTGGCGTCGCTAGGCCTTCTATCACTCCCTGCAAGTGCTGCTCTAACAATTCCTCGCCACTCAGCGAAAAATCGCTATCGATCCAAATTGAACGTAGTCGCGTCATGATTACACCCATTCGTTTATCCGCCGCTAAACCACGTTCTTTCAACATGCTACCAGAGAGTGGAAAGCGAGGAGCTTTCCATGATTTCAAATCGTGGTAAAGATTGAACTTGTTTGTATATTTTAGCAGCTCTTCGACATATTCTCGTTTAGCATATGGCTGCAGGCAAAGTCGTTGAAAGTCGCGCAGCGTTCGAAAATCTGCATCAACCTGGAATACAAGTTTGTACACAAATACATCTACATATGTACATACTGTATAAGAACTTTTTATCATAGTTACCTTATGTCGATTCTGAGTAATAAACAGCGCCAAATCACGTTCATAAGCTGACAATTTGAGTCGCTGATGCAGCTGCATAGCATCCTCTGAAGTATGCAGTAATGCAATTAAATACAATATCGGTAAATGAGGTGGTGAATAATTTGCCAAGTCTTCGCAAAGCCGTTTAAACTCGTCTATGTTAGGTTCCGCTGGCAAACCACAGTAAGGTGCTAAGCCAGCAGCAATCATTTGCTGTACCAATTCGAAACCGAAATTTCCAACCACAATCTTTTGTAGCTCTGTCCATATGCGCTCGCCACTAATACGCGCCAAACCACCGACATTTTCCCGAATTGCTCTTAAGGTCTCAGCATCATGCTTCGATGGTTCGCGCGCTATGCGACCATAGAAACGGAAGTAGCGCAAAATACGTAAATAATCTTCTTTAATTCGGACATTAGGATCGCCAACGAAAACCACGCGACGTTGTAGTAAGTCATCAAAGCCATAGAAATAGTCATAAAGTGTACCATCAAAGCCGAGGAACATGGAATTTATAGTAAGATCACGGCGATTTGCATCCAACTGCCAGTCCGTTGTGAATTGCACCTTGAAGGAAAATGTATTTAAAAAAATTACATGAATTAAAGAGAGCATGTACACCTACTTCTGCATGTCGTCCGTCGGTGAGTACATCGATGCGTAATGTGGTGACCTCGAAGTTTTCTTTATTATGTATTCGTGGCGTTATCGTGCCATGCTTCTCACCCTTCGCATTTATCATACGTACGTCTTCCTTGGAGAACATTTCTTTCATTTGATCCGGTGTTGCTGTAGTAGCTAAATCGATATCTTTCGGGGTTAAGCCCATTACAATATCACGCACTGCACCACCGGCAATGCGCAGCTCATAATTATGCCGCTTGAAGATATCAATCAATGCGCGTAGTTCCTCGGTGAAAATACTTTGGAATTCTGGTGTATCTATTTTCTTAAATGCAGGATCTGCACGCATTTTCGAAGGCACACCAAGCGGTTTCAAATTTGCCTGCAAAGCTTGGGCCAGTTGTGTAGCTTCTGTTGTGTGATTTCCTGGCGACATGTGGCGTGCAAAGTTTGTGCTGAAAGCTGCAGACAAAATCCTTTTTCCTTTCAGCTGCGTTCGAACAATACGGCAAAAGATGTGAAAAGTGTTTTGCATAACTTTTTTAACCAAAATATTGGATTTAAATAGGAAAAACTGATTGGCCAGGCACGGACTTGAAAAAAACAAATGTTTTGATTTGCAATTGTTTTTGTTGTAAACTGTGAAGTCAGCTGATTGGGAGTACTGTCGGAGGTAATTCTCTAGGGGGGGTAACTACCCCTAAAAAAGGGGCCGAAAAGTCGGGAGGGGTACCAAACGACGCGTTTCAGCCCCCCTAATAACAATCCGGAGGGGGGGAGGTAATATTATTAACCATTTAAAAGTTATGAACAAAAAACTTTTGTTAAATTTCGTTGTTTTCTATGAGCAATTACCACGTCAAAAATGCACTAAATCACCAGTTTCCACTTTTAACACACTACTAAAACGTTTCCGCGTATTATTTTATACAAACCAAATCATTTATTCACTTTTATTTTATATATTTCGTTAATAAAACAGAGTAAACAAACTTTGCGCCTGCTGAAATTATTATAACCTCAAATCGCTGGTATTGCCACTTTATTTCACATTTCATTTGCGCTATTAAAGTCAGTTTACACTATGCACTATACACTTCTTCTTCTTCTTCTTCTTCTTCTTCTTCTTTTTACTTTCATCTAAATAAGATATTGTAACCAAAATATAATAGCAAATTTCGCTATACCATATCATTATTTATTGAAGTATTGATTTTTATGGAAAAAGCGCCGCAGGCGAAAATTTTTAATAAAAAATCGCGCGATTTTTTATTAAAAATTTTCATTATTTATTGAAGTATTGATTTTTATGGAAAAAGCGCCGCAGGCGAAAATTTTTAATAAAAAATCGCGCGATTTTTTATTAAAAATTTTCATTATTTATATATATATTAAACGAAAGAAGATACCGAAAAGCATTGAACAGTGCACACATCTCATAAGGAAAAGTGAATTATTACGAAATACTAATACAGTGGCAGCACTATAGCTATTTTGGAATCTCGCGTTTCAGCTCGCAAAGATTGTCAACTTCTTTTTAATAACAAAATAATCTATCTTAGGTTGATAAAACTATGTGTTTCTTTAATAAATAAGTTAAATTATATATTTTAATAGTGTTTAAAAAGTGTGAACAGGTGATTTAGTGAATCTTTGTCGGTGTAATTGCCCATCGAAAACAACGAAATTTAACAAAAGTTTTTTGTTCATAACTTTTAAATGGTTAATAATACTATCTCCCCCCCTCCGGATTGTTAATAGGGGGGCCGAAACGCGTCGTTTGATACCCCTCCCGACTTTTCCGCACCTTTTTTAGGGGTAGTTACCGCACCCTAGAGAATTACCAATTTGAATTTTCGACTTCAGCCTTTCTTTCCCTGAATGAACGACAACAGCTGATTCATGAAAAGTTGTTGGAAGTCTACAACAACAAAAACCAAAACCGCCCCGCTCCAATGTCGCTGCTGACACGCTACAGCCTCAGTATATCCAGTAAACAAACTTAGCTATTTTTTNTATTAATTTGTATCAAATATAACATTAAACGGTGGTTCTAATACATTTTTTGATATTATTAACCAGAGTACATACATTATATGGTATTTCTTTCAAAATTAATGTACTATATGAACTTTTTTTTCAAATATTTCTTAAGTTTCTTTCATGAGTGCTGAAAAGCAACCATGCGTGTAAGAAATTGTGTGCTACCTAAAATTTCACCTCTGGAAACTTTATCCCCATAAAGGACTTCACCACAGTTTTTTTACTGGATATACTGAGCTACAGCATTTGCCTGCTGCACAAGCTATCACCAACATTCCGGTTCTCTGCAGCTACGCAATCACAAAAATTTGTGCGAAACTCACTGCATTATTCAAAAATGTCTAGCGAACGCAAGAGTGTGTATATTACACGTCCCGATGTTGCACCAGTGGGCATTGAATTGCTAAAGGCAGAGTCAGTAAAATTTTAAGTAATGCTCAATACGATAAAAGTGCAATCCACTTTTCACAGGTGCAATGTTAGCAGCTGGTCGCAACCGTTGCCAGTACCGCGTGAAGAACTGCTACGCCAAGTTGTTGGCAAAGACGCTATCTACTGTGCACTAACCGACAAAATAGACGCAGAGGTCATTGAAAGCGCCGGTCCACAGTTGAAGTGTATCGCCACCATATCGGTCGGCTATGAGCACATCGATCTGACTGAATGCAAGAAGCGCGGCATACGCATTGGCTATACACCGGATGTGCTCACCGACGCTACAGCTGAGTTAACTGTGGCGCTGTTGCTTGCTACCAGCCGGCGCTTATTCGAAGCTGGTAAAGAAGTGTACAATGGCGGTTGGAAATCATGGGCGCCTAATTGGATGTGCGGTCAAGGTCTTAAAGGCGCTCGCGTAGGTCTTTATGGGTTCGGACGGATCGGACAGGAAATCGCAGCGCGTTTAGTGCCATTTAAGCCTTGCTTACTAACATACACTACGCGCACTGAGCGCGCGGCTGAAGCGGCCAAAGTGAATGCACAACGTGTAAGCTTCGATGAAATGTTAAGTGAATCAGATTTTATCGTAGTCTGTTGTGCGCTCACTCCTGAGACGAAGGAAATTTTCAACGCCGCTGCGTTCGAGAAAATGAAACCGAGCGCAATTTTCATTAACACCGCGCGCGGTGGCGTAGTAGATCAGCCTGCACTATGCGCCGCACTAAAAGAACGCTGTATACTAGCCGCAGGTTTAGATGTGACCACACCGGAACCGCTTCCGCTCGATGATCCAATACTGAAATTAGATAACGTTGTTATATTGCCACACATTGGTAGCGCGGATGTGAACACGCGCACGGAAATGTCGCGCATAACGGCTCTAAATATTTTGGCCGGGCTGAAAGGAGAAAAAATGGTGGCTGAAGTGGCGGTTTGAAAAATAACACTTTTATTAATGCGCTACGTCAAGAATTATAACAACTAAACCACCAAGCTGGTAGCGATTGTAAATTAATGGGTCGATTACGGATGGCAACAGGCAGCTGATTTCTTAATATTGCCAACTGCATTTTTGTAGTAGCCGCGGAAATTTTGATTGAGATAATTATATTATTTTTTAACCGTTTCAGCAGAATTTTTTTAACTGGTTGCCTGTTCTTCAAAACTCTATTATCTTCCACTTTATAGCAATTCACTATGATATACATTTTAATTTGACTGGCGCTGCCCATGGGCAATCCAACTAAGTTTGCGTTGCTATCCATAATCGGCCGGTAAAAAAAAAATGTATTTAGTTATAAGCGAGTTTGGAATTTATATATAATCAGAGATAAAATATTTTTATGGGACTGTCTAATCTTCGCCTGGAGGCAGCGGTTGGGCGGATTTGGGAATAATTGAAGTGTTGATGGCGCCAAGTATGGGAATAGGTGCTGGAACCGGAGCTGGCACCGGGGCAATGGGAATTGTAGATATAACTGCGATTTCAGAGGGGTCTTCTATCTCTTTTTTGATTTGATCAACGGTTATGTAACCGCCGGTTTCGTCCTAAAATAAAAAAGTAATGAGAAATTTAAGTACATATATACAAATTATCTAGTAGATTTCTCTTCTTTTTTTTTACTCATCACTTACCGTTATAAAAACATCCACAGTCTTCCCGGATATGATATCCAGCAGCTGGGGCGTTATGCCGCTCATCGGTTCCTCCTGAATGCTCTGCGCGTATTCATACAATGGTTGCCTCAAATCGGGGCACTGCTCCAACGCATCCACAAGTTGATGATGCGGTAAATGAAGCAATACTGGCAAAGATTGTGGTTTCAAACGTTGACAGCATTTGAGAAAACCTTCCCAAATAACTTTTTGACGCCACACTTGCTTCAATATGAGTCGTTGCAGCAGATTTAAAACGAAATTCGTTAAGCGTGGATATAGTGTTATGCTCTGGATAATGGTACGCATTAGCAAGGTCGGTATAGGTACCACTTCGACTAGCTGCTGCAATACGCCAATTAGCACTTCTGGCGTAAAAACTTCCTTTTCAGCTAAACAAATTGACGTGGCTTTAACTACTGCTTTCAAATCGCAAGCACTTGGATCCATAGTATGTAAGGCGACGAGTATATCGGTTGGCGTGGCAGCCATGGTTTGGTTAGCGAATTCAGCGCCTACGCCCAACAAACGATTGAACACCTCCTTCACTACAATTTGATTAAGCTTTAGTAACTTTGGCAGAGCATTCAAAATTTCTTGGCGTGTGAGCCCGCTGAGCACAGGTATTAGAACGCGCACATCCTTGACTTTATTCGCATAGAGTTCTCGAACTCTGTGCACTAGTTCCGGATTAGGTGTTGCCACACGCTCAGTCAGCAAGTGTATAACGCGTATTATCAGTGTTTCAGTGCCTTTGGGACAGTCTTCGATAAATGTAAGCAGTGTTGAGTCTTCAGCGCCCATTTTCTTTATGGTTGGGTCAATTGAACGAAGAATAGTACGTTTCAGATCAGCGCCAGTGGTAGTGTAGATGTGGCAAAGTTTGTTTAGAAAAACTAGAAGCAGAAAATCCAAAATAGTTGCGTAAAGACGATCAAATCACTTACCTTTTGGTTTATATGGCAGTAATGTCAGCAGCAATGTCAGGCAGGTCTTAACCGTTTCCTCTTTCCAGCCTATTTCAGCTGCAGGTCGTCCATATTCTTCTGTGAAAATACTTGGCGGGGGCACGTCCTTTTCCAGATGTTTGGCCCAATCCAAAGCAAATTCTTCAATTCGATTCGGCAGCACTTTATGTATATGATACAACGCGATTATATGCTCTAAGGCCCGCTCTCTCAAGTCCGTACGTTCATGCACACAGAACATTAAAAGCACTCTTATTAGTTTATTCTTGCGTGGTGGACGCATAACAGCCAAGTCTTTCAGTAGGTCAACGCCAGGATTTACGAATTCTTCGGAGAAGCACATTTCCACCAGCTGATTGAGAGCATCGTCTGGTAGCAATGGCGCTTCGAGAAATATGCGTCGTATCAATAAAATTTTATCTTTCAATTCACACGTTTCACGCACCCCTCTTATTAGTTGGCTGAGTAGTTCGTTGTAAGCATAGTCGGGTCGATTTTCTGACTTTACGTAAGAATGCCGGGTAAAACCTTGTAGTAGACAATACTCTTCATACAGCCAAGAAAAGGCCAAATCAATGCGCTGCTTCACATCCAGCATGATGAAATCGAAAATGAAGTAACGCACTTTGTCAGGAAATGTGGCTGCCATTACGGTAAGTGTTTTACGACGCTTTGCAGACACGCCGCCTACAATGCACTGTCGTTCCGATTGCAAAATACGCTTTACAGCCTCTAAGAGGAATTTTTCTTTCATCGGACGCGAAAAAGGTTTTGTAACCTCTTGCAATTTCAACGTCTTTGCGCGCATTTTCATGCGCTCGATCAGCTCTTGTTCACCTTTGGCTCGTTCCATGTTTTCACGCAATTTTTTTGTGGCTTCATCTTTTCTCATTTGGTCTTCGTCGACCGGTTGGTCACTAAAAACAAAATATGTGAATGTATTCAATGTCGTCTGCCCCCGTATGCTTACCTCTCATTTGTGTCCATGGGTTCGGCGCGTCGTGGTCGCATAGGCGTTTCCTTACTAAATGCTGCAGCACCTGGCCCAATCTTTTGCGCTGTCATCTGTTCGCCAAGTACCTTAGATATCTTCGATACTTGCTGCTGTATGGACATATCGCGAATGGGCGCGTATTCATTTAGGAAATGCTCTGGCGGTTCGTCCGGCAGCTTAGGTAAAAATTCAACTACTAAGTTTACAGCTACATCAGTAACACGCAGTTTTTCAGCCAAAAATTTCTCGTTTACACGCAAACAACGCTCACGCTGCTTTTCTACTTCCTCCTCATCGACCTCCATTTCTACATCTTTTGCAGATTCATCGTCCTGACTCGACTTAGACCTACGCTCCTGTTGACGATTTATCGAATCAAGACGCATTTTTTTATTAAGATTACTTGCTGCGCCTTCCAATATTCTTTTTTGCCTACGCGTTTGTTCCTGTTTATCCATTTTAGGTATAGCCCGTTGGATTTCGCTCTGTGACGCACCCAAATCTGCCAACATGTGTCTTATGGACGCCTGATATTCATACGAGCCGCGATTTTTTAGCAATGCCATTAATTGCATCTTCAAGCTTTTACGTACAGAGCTAGCCTGTGAATCTGTGAGAGTAGGCGGTAGATTTGAATTAAGTTGCTTAAAGGCATCCACAACAGGGCCCATAAGACTAGGCCGCAGTTTGGCAATGGTACAAAGGCTGCCAGTGCAGGTGATAAGATTCACAGAAGAAATATGTGTAGCTGCATGAAACTTCAGCAATATATCGAAAATATTTAGTGCTTCCTCCTCCAACTTGGTTCGTTTTACCAACTTAAAATTCAAAGGTACATCTTCCAACGAAAAGTCGTTGTCTTTCTTTTGGCTATCTTCATCTGGATAACTTTGCAGCACAACAACGCCTTCCAAAAATTTTAAAGCATTGGTACGAATTCCATCATTCTCGTTGTCGATCAAATCCAAGATTTGAGCCTTTAGCAGACTAAGAACACTCCAGGCCTGTTCAGCGCTGTCTGACACCTCAGTTACACTACATACCCATTGTAGGCCATTTTTATATACACTGCCGCACGCCTGTATGACACGTTTAATTACCTGGGGCGAGCGATCGCGCAAGAGCATTGAAATGACGCTTATTACTTGTGGCAGCAACTCCACCTTCACTTTACTGGGGTAAGAGTTAAACTTTTTTATTTAATTTCTGCTTTCTAAAGCCACCGACGGAAGACTCACCAAATTTGTTCAATGAAACAGACTACTTGCTTCCGGACATCTGCATTGGCATCATGCGCAAGCGAGAGTATGTGTTCCAAGAACTCTTCCAGCAACTCAACACATGAGCCCAAAATCATTTCTTGTGCCTTAACCAACAGATCGCATTTGGTCGCAGGGTCTGCGTTGGGTACTTCATTTAACCACTCTACTACCTGGAAAGATCAAAATAAGTTTCCAACGACATTCCTAATTGCTACCACTCCATACCTTGCTACGTGCGTTTGCAGTCTTCTCATCCGTAAACAGATTTACTGCTTCGCCTAGAAATTGGCTGCGCCCCAGAAGGCCCTCCATATTTTGTATAATTAGAAAATTTTCCAAAAATACAAATAATTGGAACAATTACTGCTGAAAATTCCAAGGAGTCGCACAATGCAAAAAAAAAAGTTAAAAATACACCGGGTTTTGACGTTTCATGCTTTATGATAAAACACAGGGTTGCGTGTGGCAATGCAGTGGTTCCCAAGTCTTTAGAATAAAAACCCGAATTAATAAAACGTAGTGAAGCGGCGAGCTAAGCGAAGAGCTAGCATCGAGCAAAACTTCAATTACAAATCGAAAGCAATTTTCGTAATTTCAATTGCAGTTACACCTTGCAATTTTTTATTTCCGAAAGTGATTTCTGCGAATCTGCAAAAATGACTTTCTGGCTATTTACACGGCAAAGCAGACTTTAGATTTCGAATTTTGACAGAAAAATGCGTAGAAAAATCCTCGTTTAACCGCACCATTAAGCGAAGCGCACATTGGCGCGATTCTGTCGTTGCGAATCCGCAAGCCCAAAAATTACAACAATGCTACCCATACATTTTAATGCGCTAGCGCACACTTGCACGATTCCGTCGCTGCGAATTTTTCGAACATTCAATGTTCCTCTCTATTGACGCGTTCGAAACGCGGCTTGCAGCGTTTTGAAGGCGTCAAAGAAGAAGAAGAAAGGTGTCACAGCAATAAAGGCAAAGAAAAAAAAACGTGTAATGTACAAAAACTAATAAAAACGTTCGTAATAATAGTATTTTGTACGATTTGGGCACACCGAGTGCGAAAATACACGAAATAAAGGGAAAATTGAGTGAATTGTACATCGGAAATCGACGCGAAAAAACGCTCAAGTGTGCGCACGTTTGCGGATTCGAAGTTAACAGCCGAATTCGCAACGTATTCGCAACGATGGAATCGCGCTAATGTGCGGTTCGCTTTACACCTTGGTACTTTTATTTCCGAAAGTGATTTCAGCAAATCTGAAACAAAGACCGGAAAGTAAACTTTCCATTTCGCATTTTGGCTGTCAAATGCGTAATAAAAGTGCTTGCATTGCCACGTTTAACCGGACCTCTAGTTTGAAATATTCATAAATTCATTCATTCATTAAATTCTTCTTATCCCGGTACATTCAACAATTTAAGATCCTTTGTGTACCTAAACTGACTCAAAGGCGTCAATAATGCAATGAAAATTTAAAAATTGATTCTGCGATATCTGTAGAAAGGGCCAATTGGCTCCCTTTTTAAATTCCGGTTAGGATCGGCAACATTGATTGTCAGTGTCACTCATCGATTGCTGTCAGTGTATCCAGAAAAAAACTCGGTGCCGTAGAAGAAAGATTCGACGTGCAAATTGCTTAAAACAGGCAGAATTTGCACAAAAAATTTGCAAATAACAATAATTACCGCCAGCCGGTTGCATTTATATGGAAAAGCTAGTTAAAGTAGCTTGAAAAGCACATATTGTGCAAGGGAAATCAAGTGTAAACGTCTGTTGTGGGGCAGGAGGTGGAACACGATTTCAAGGAGGGCACCACGAAAGGAAAGCAAACGAAAAAAATTCAACGAGAAACGTATTAAAAAGCAATTACAAATAAAAGATACGCCTTAAAACAACAAGGAAACTCATCAACTGACTAATCGACCAATCTACCAGCCAACCAAACGACCGAACGAGGGTACAACGTAGCTGATAAAATAAGAGTAAAAAATACGACTGAACTTGAACAAGAGCAAATACAAATAAAAGTGATTTTATCAAGACAAACAGCAACGGCCACCGCAATAACAATCGCTGAAGCAGCAAACGCGCCCTGCACACACGCGCTCCAATGTCAAGCGGCCAAGTAAATGTCGCTGGCGACAGCAATGGAGCAGGCGGGGGCAGTGGTGGCGGTGGTGGAGGGGCAAACACAGCAGCACAAGCGGCGCCACAGCTGCAACAGCAACAATCACAACAACATCAACAGCAACCGCCACCACAAATCATGGGCGCTTCAACGACAACCGTTGTCACAGATACAGTCAATATGGCAGCCGATTCGTCACCGCGTGAGTCAGGCGATGACTCGGAGGATGAAAGTGAAATCCTTGAGGAATCACCATGTGGGAGATGGTTGAAAAGACGCGAAGAAGTAGATCAGCGTGATGTGCCCGGTATCGATTGTGTTCATCTGGCTATGGACACCGAAGAGGGTGTTGAAGTTGTTTGGAATGAGGTGCAATATGCCAATTTGCAGGAGCTTAAGTCGCAAGAGGAAAAAATGCGGCAAGTTTTTGACAATCTAATGCAATTAGATCATCAGAACATAGTCAAGTTCCATCGCTATTGGACAGATACACAAAATGCAGAACGGCCACGAGTCATATTCATTACGGAATACATGTCGTCGGGGTCATTGAAACAGTTCCTCAAACGCACTAAACGCAATGCCAAACGGTTACCATTGGAGGCGTGGCGCCGCTGGTGTACACAAATTCTGTCCGCGCTCAGCTACTTGCATTCCTGCATACCGCCCGTAATTCACGGCAACCTCACCTGTGATAGCATTTTCATCCAGCATAATGGTCTGGTGAAAATCGGTGCCGTTGTGCCCGATGCGGTACACTACAATATGCGGCTGCATCATCGCAGTGATCAAAGCGAGACGCATCACTTTATGGCACCAGAATATGGTGCTGCTGAGCAGTTGACTGCCGCCGTAGACATTTATGCATTCGGCATGTGCGCCCTGGAAATGGCTGCATTGGAAATTCAGCCAAGTGGCAGTGAAACGACAACCATCAATGAGGAGACAATATTGCGCACCATCAATAGCCTGGAGCATGATTTGCAGCGCGATTTGATATTCAAATGCTTGCGGCGAAATCCTGCCGAGCGGCCAAGTGCCAACGATTTGCTCTTTCACCCTTTACTTTTCGAGGTAAGTAAACGGGTTAAGCGGAGTAGATAAGAGTTAAATAGTAAAATACCCCCCTTTCATGAATCCGTACGATGCACGATAAACGCTTGCATTCTGTTATCCCCTATTACGAACCGATATTCGTCGGAGCAAATCCGAAGTCGGCGTAACCGATTTGTTTTGGTTAACGATAAAAAGGGAACAAAACCCACAGGCATTCAAAATAGTACATCTGTCGGGCGTATGAAGAGAATAATACGAAAACTAAACGCTTGCTAGCGGTTAACGTCTATCGGTTGGAAATTTATAGTAGGGGGCATAGCTTATATATGTGGCTACTGTATAAGCTTAAAAAAAAAATAACAAGAATACATGTTACTAATTCTGGTTCAATTAAAAAAATATTCAAGTGTTGTTCAATAGATATCTAGTTTGAAGGTGACGCCTTAAACTTATTTTTTGAGGGGCTAATATTTGCGGGAAATTGTTTTTGCGGAGGAATTATTAAATCAATTTCAGACGGGTCCCCTACTAATGCTTGATGCATTTCGAAGACATTGATTTCATTAATTCATTCGACTAATTCATTTTTACTTTACTGTTGCTTGCAGGTGCACTCACTAAAGCTTCTGGCCGCTCACTGTCTAGTGTTTGCGCCCAAGAATCGAACAATGTTTTCGGAGACTCTCATAGACGGCATGATGCAGCGCTATAACCGGCCTGAAGTGATCATGGCCCGTGTGTCATGTGGCGAGGAGGAGAAGAACTATCGTCTTGCAGACGTGCCTACAGCAGATAAGTTGGAGAAATTCGTAGAGGACGTCAAATTTGGTGTATATCCGTTGACTGCGCTTGGCGGCAAGAAGCCACCACATTTTCGCTCACGTGCCGCATCACCAGAACGCGCCGATTCAGTTAAGTCGGCCACACCGGAGCCAGTCGATATCGAGTCACGACGCATTGTCAATATGATGTGCAGTGTTAAGAAGTTGAAAGAGGACAGCAGCGATATTGCAATGACGATATTGTTACGCATGGATGACAAGATGAACAGGCAATTGACATGTCAGGTGACGGAAGCCGACTCGGCCTCTGATCTAACCAACGAATTGGTGCGCCTGGGCTTCGTGCATATCGATGACCAGGATAAAATACAAGCGTTGTTGGAGGAAACGTTGCGGGGCAGCTTTGCAGTGAATAGCGGCGGTGTCTGTCCCTTCGAACAGGGTGCGCAAGCGCTAACTTTTAGTGCCACAATCAACGAGCATATGCCGGGCGGTGTCGGTGTGAGTATTGTTGGGAATAGTGCTGGTGCCGCCAACGCCAACGGCAACTTTGGTGCAATCGGCATGGGCAGTGGAGGTGGTGCTGCTGGCATTTACAATGCAGAAGGTGCCAACGTGCATGGCAATATTGCCGTAAAGCCGGCAACGACAGCGACTTTGGCAGCACTCAACCAGATGGAACGCAATTGGTCTGTGGCTGATACAGACCCCAATGCTGGATTGGCGAATGCGAATTTGCAAGCAGCAAGTGTGGGTGCAGAAATGGCTCTTGCAATGTACCAAATGCAACAACAGCACCAGCAACAACTGCATGAGCAGCAGCAGCCGCAGCCGCAGCAACATCAGCCACAGTCACAGCTGTCACCGCAGTTGCACTTGCAAATGCAAATGCCCGTTCCGCAACAGCAGCCACAGGTGCTAACCACAACGCCGCCCCCAGCTGGCGTACTGCCACCATTTTCAGCGCAAGCAACTCAACAAATAATGCATGAACAGTCTTTGGATCAGCAAATCGAGGGGGCGGCAGTGCCCTTAACTGCCACGGTGAATAGCATAAATGCACCTCAACAACACTATGCAAACGCTCAGCAGCAAATAATGCACTCTTCCAATCCAACAACAGCAACTGCAACTGTGACTGCAGCTATGCCAGCACCTTTACCAACTGTAACCGCCACAAACGCCTCGACCTCCTCAGCCGCCTCCTCCACTATCAATTAATAATATTTTTTTTTAAATATTTAAATACACTACATTGATATTCAAGAAACTGAAGTAGCAGAAGAAGAAATAGAATTATGGAAAAAGATGGAGAAATTTATATTTTTAAATTGCAAAATAGAGCATGGGAGCCACACAGCACAGGTGGTGCTTCGCGAGTCGTATCATCAAGTCAGACAATGTAATGTTTTTTTTTTTTGTTTTTGATTATTATTCATTACGAGTATAATGATTACGAATACTTTTTATATAGTCACTAGAGAAAAATAAAGTTTTTAATTAAATTTGGAAACAAAACAAAAGATAAAATAAAAACTCAAAAACTAAAATTTAAAAATGCTTAATTTATAAGCTAAAAGCAAAGACAAACGAGTTAAAAGTGCAGTATGTGCAAAACAAATTAAAATTGTAATAGCAGCAGAGGTGGCGCATGCGCATCAACGGGTTAAGTTGATATTCCAACACAGGTTGTTAAAAAAAAGCAACAATTCAATTCAAATTTTGTAAGCTGTGCTTAACAGCATCTGCGACGCATAGCAGGAGTACGTGCGGAGCAAATATAAATGGCATCATTATGGAGAGACTTTAATTTGTAGCCAATATTGTTGTTATACGCAGCGTAGCGCCATCCACAATGCCATTGCAAATTGATATGTGATTGTTTTGGTTGCTGCTTGCTGGACACGGGCGCGACAGCTCTGAAATGTCATGCGTACGAGCACTAACTGAATGAAAGCCAGACATACGCATATGAATCATCTAGGAAAAGCTTAATAAATGTATTTATGGTATTTGAAATTTTAAATACACTGCAAAAAAAGAAACAGCAAACAGCAAGAACAACAATAATGTACTACCTACATACATACATACATATGTACATTTAAAGAATCCTTGCATGGATACAACACACGCATACTAAATTTCATACATATTTACATACACACCCACACACAATAAAGATAAACCTTGTGCATAAAACACGGCAAAAAACTGTAAGTGTCTATTATAATGCCAAGGAAAATTTAATAAATCAATAATAATCATAATGAAATGCTTCATCCATAAATCAACATTATAAAAAAAAAACACAAAATCAAGCAAATAAACGAATGCAATTTTCATTTAATGAAAATCTTTGCATCAGAGAAAAGCATTTAAGAAGTGTTCTCATTTGCCGCCAATGGCTTTATAGAGTAAAATATTATGTATGTACTTGACTTAGCAAAACCTTGGAAATTACCTCAAACAATATCCTTTTGAACAACAACGGAATGGCTAACAGATATCTGCGCATTTATTTTGTTACTGCGTTCACTTCATTTATCATCGTTCAAGCCAAGCAAAAAAGTGTATTTACTCTTAGCCCCCCGCATTTTAGTCAAGTACAGCGCTGAGCAAATGTGTGGGGTACACGCTTGTTTATTTGGAACAAATACTTTTTTCAATAAACGATTTGTGAAGTGAACAGTTTCGTTACCTGAATTTCTCTGCACCTGCATGCATCACATTTTTTTACATTTCAAATTAATTTGCTGCTATTGGGAATTATTTAAGTGCAAAAACATGAATTTTCTTGATTTATTCCACTGCAACCTCTATGGTTGGTGTCTCCTTCAATTTTCTTTCTGGCGGTTCTTCAGCATTTGCTTCATCCGCTGCTAATTTTAATTTCTTTGCTTGTGGTTCATCTACAGCATCAGCATTACATTGCTCCTTGTCTTCATTTTTTTCAATCCCGTTCTCTACTATTTTTGCGCACTTCTGCACCGCTTTTTGGGCTTCATATGCATCTAACAGCTTGCTGTCCTCGAACAAAACAAATGGCAGTGTCACACGCTGATAATAGTCCGACATCAATTCAATATTGCTTATGACTATATCCAGCATATGTGATTTTTCACACCAAATACCTGGCGCATCGCCACGCACCGGATTGATATGAGCGTGCAGATGATAGAATGATGGTTGATAGTGAAAATATATGCGCAATTGTGAGGCGCATAAACCGTAACGCTTTTCGATAGCTTCTGCAATTCCTGCGCGTAGATTGCGCAAAAGCGGCAGATGAGTAGAGTTGAGATCACGCAAAGATTTGATATCGCGTTTGCGCGTAATGGCAAGAAGATACAGTGTCTCCAAAGTTTTGCCATCCCACTTCAAGTCGGGCAAGAGTATGAAGCCAGTTTCGGGATCTGAATCTTCATACACAATACGATCAGTTTCTTGACGATGTTCCAGTATATTGTATACCCACTAGTAAGATAAAATTGAAAATCATGGCAAGGTAAATAAAATACGGTGGGGCGATTTTACAGAAACTTTCAGTTGAAATCAACAAAATCGTCTGGTATGAACGGCTTTTAAACTAATGAAGTTGGGGGGTAGCCAACTTTACATTCTTGATGAAATTATAATTATTATACTTCAACTAATCGCTTATTAAATTTGCCTGGAAAATCGCATGTGAACACCGTTAAAGCTTAACCGATTTGGGCTTACATCTAAACTAAATTGGCTGTTCGTTATATACGGCAAAGTTAGCTGCTCATATAACGCTGGAGTTTCAGTAATCAGGTACTTTTGAGTCAACGAATACTTTTCAATGTGCTTCTCTGTAGCTGGATATACCACTGTCGTCTTAATGCCTACAATTAGGAGTTAAATGTGCCGAAAAAAAAACCACTACATAGAGTCAAATCTAAAAGTCCGATTTTTTTTCTTACCATTCAATTCAGTGCTGGGAATGCATCGAAAGCTGCCATAAATGTTGTTGATGAACTCCGTATGCACCTGCAGGGCAGCACTGAATATGCTTGGAGTTTCAGTAGCACCCTCCTCGCTCGCAGTTTGCACATCACGCTCCTTGAATGCTTGTTTCTCAAGCAACACAACAGCTACATCAACAGTAGAAACATCGGGGAATGAGCCCAACAACTATGTATATATGTACATATGGATAGGAGGTTGAAAATTTTATTTGTGACTAGCTGCTGTTATATATTTTCTTAAGATATTACCGCTATAGTTTTTCGCATTGTATTATTTTGTAAAATACGCGTCAACTTAAATTTGGACAATTCATAGCTTGGATGCGTAACCTCGGCTTCCGAGCTTGCCACCGGCGGCGACTCTCCTGCAGCAGTGCCATTCTCAACCCCGGTTACTTTTTCTGCTATCTTAGCAGCCGATTCCTCAACAGTTGTTGGTTCTGCGTTTAATTCGGTATTTTCTGGCATGGTTTATTGTTTGATCCAACGTCAATTATTAAAAATAAAAGAATACAAATATCGAAACCCGCCGGTAAAATTATGCGAACGCTTCTTCTTATCAGCACCGAAATTCACAGTAGCAATAAGCAGGGTTGCACGAATGCTCCGTCAAACTGGTTGACTATTGTTCCTAAAATTAAGTACTTTATTAAAATTTGAAATAAAGTACAAAAGTAAAGGTATTCATACCGACTTTGTTAACTCGAAATTCTGTTCAATGTATTTTTTTCTTCTTTTAGAATTATCGTTTTACCGGCTTACCGACATTCCTACTGTTTACTGCTACATGACAATAAAAATGCATTGAAGTATTTAATGTATATGTATATATGTAACTTTGTTTATTGTAATTAATAATTTCCACTTTGTAATAGTATCAATATTTTATATAATAATAGCTAAAAATAAACCCAACTGTTTCAGGCAATGCGTTACACTCATACTTTAATGCATTTAACTATTGTTTTGTATTTGTTTGTATGTTGCGCTGTGTATGAATGCTTTTCGTGTTAATGTCCTTATGTGCCTTATATGTAAAAAAAGAAAACAGAAGCAAAGTTGCACAAGCTTTCAATTTTTGTAATATTTTAGTACATTTCGTTAAGCGTTTCGTCTAGCAGTCTTAATTGCTAGAGTAAGAGTGTCGCTAGAGTTACTAGTTTTTCAATCGCCGTACTTGTCTTTACGCAAAACAGCATTAAACAACAATGCCAGTGGAGGGTTTTGCGCCTAAAATATCTGATAGCCTTTGTTGATATGACGCCAGGACATTTGATTCGGTTATGCCACGCGCCTTACAAGACAACTGCAGTGCATTAAGGTATTGCATTTCAGTGAACTGAGCGCCTTTTTCAACGATGTTCGTAAGAATGTCCTGCAATTGAAAGGAACAATGTTAATTAAAAAATATTATTTATGGAGTGTTATTCTCTTTATCTTAAAGCTTACATCCGGTTCCATGCATAGCAGTTCATAAAAGTTCTTCGCTTGATCCAGCGCCACTTCGCGTGACGCTGTAATATTACTCAGCGTTTGCTGTAATGCTAGCGAATTGCGGCACATGCGTTGCACGGTCGCTTGATCGATGTTTTCCAGATAGTTGGAAGCTTGTATGAGTATGCGCGCGGCCAAATGTGCCAAACCTTCGAAAATATACTACATTTTACAGAAAAAAGATATGTTACCTTTTTCCGTTTTTAGAACTATGTAGTTTAATATTTTTCTATCACTTACCCTAGTCTTGCGTGGATGCAGCGTTGCACTGAATGCCTCATCCATTTCAGCCAAACGTTTGGTTAGCATCTGCACTTGCCGATCCGGTTCGAGGATGTCATCATCCTTGGCGCCCATGAAACTGTTGGATTTGGTAGCTGGCTTCGAACGCAAATAGTGGAAGCATTGCACGCGCACCTAATAGATAATAGAGGTAAAACATTAAAATTTAATTGTTTTTTTTTTTGATAATAACGGAGATTTTGAACAAACCTCCAGGTGTAACACCAACAGGCACGTATTGGCAAGTTCATCGAATTCGAGTGCCAAATTGGTCAACACTTTAATGGTGCCATCTTTGATGGCTGCCGCATGCGTGGCCGTACACTCGGACGTGATGACATTAAGGCCATTTACCAAAGGTTTCCGCAGCTCGTTGGCGAATTCCGACACACGTCCAGAGAACCACTCCATGCTCTCCTGCAGCACTGCGAGCTCCTTCAGAACACTTATATCCGCTAGAATTTCCTGCTGCGTAATGCCACCCTCACCCAAGTTGCTAGTGAGCATTTCAGCTTCGCGTATGTTGCGTTGCTGCACTTGCATTGGACTCTCCTCTTCCGAAGGTTCGAAATTGTTACGCTGCAGCTTCTTGCCATGCTTCACACGTTGGTTGTGGTTGGAGGATTTCAGATCGGTCCAGTTAGGAAGTGTTCTGCGTACCATAAAGTATGCGTGCCGTTAATGTAATTTAAAAACTAAACTATTACTTTGCATACTTACTTTAAAAATCGGCTAATGTCTTCATCCTTTAACCAAGCCACACTGTAGATGCGTTTGTCCTCCGAATCTGGTTGTACAACACCTCTATAGGCGGCCTGCGATATTTCGCGGTACGTCTTTAGGAGGGCGCACACCATTTTCAGCAACTCATCCGAATAGCACGGCAACTCTTGTATGAGGGTTTTGGTCTCTTGCAGGCGCCGCTCCACCATGGCTGTACATTGCAGCAGTGGACGTGACAAACCCATGGCTTTCATCTCTTCTGGAGTGATAATCGTGCGCCAAGCATCCTGATTTTTCGATAATGATTCGATGGTTAATTGTAAATTGCGATTGTGACCTTTCGATAGGAACGTATCCTTAATGTAATTGTCGATGAAATCGTGTAAACTGCAGGGGTGACTGTTGCAAATTAAATAACGGTTAAAAAGTTTCATAAAATCAAGTAATCGACAAACTCACCCCGGCTTGCATTTCATGAAGCCCTCGATTTCCTGTATATAGGCCATTAGTGGCAAATAGACTTTAGTTATCACATTCTGGTCGGCTTTACAGATCAGCACCTTGTCGCGTTGTTGTTTGGGGTGCGCAAAATTACCGCTACCACTACCACTGCCGCCACCACCAAGCGCAGTTGTGGTCAGATTATCGTCTGTGGAGACGTCGGAGGCATTTCGCCGATGTTCCTTAACACCGCTTCCGCCACTAACGGCAATTGTGGGCGTGACACTCTGTTGTGGTGGTATATGCGACGACTTGTCAAATTTGAAAAGCGACTTTTTAGAACTGAAAAATAGTAGCTCGAATTAATAAAAAAACACAATTTCAAAATAAAAAGGAATAAAGTCTACTACCAATAGCTTTTTGGGAACATTTTTCTAGAAATAGCAATAATAGATAGGGTTGGCTTTACGTGAATAGAAAAGACTTCAATACTAACCAACGCACAGCAACATGAATGCGGTGTCTTGGAATATTTAAAAGTTACGCGTTAGTAATTTAGAAAAATATAATCAATCTAATAAACCAACAAATATGTTGCGAATTTATTTTGTGAACACATTTCCCTTATATTTTCAAACATTGACAAATTTTTAGTTAATAAATTAATAAATTTCTACTTCTCTGCTCCTTACCTTGGTACTTTGCGCCGCAGAAAATACGAATTTATATTGTTAGTTGGCTCAGCAAACGCCGATTGTGTTGCATCATCCCCGGAAGCATTTTGTATATCCAAATAATCGGTTAACAGCAATTGTAGCTTAACAGTTATAGAAAAAGCATAGCTAAGAAAATATGCACACTAAAAATGAGTATTTAAGAACTTACCACCGACTGTGCTTGCGCCCAAAAGTCTGTAAGATCATATGGCTGCGGTCCAACTACTGTGTACTTTTGTCCCACTGCCAAGTAGTTTTTCAACAGCAGCGCATGAGTTTTAGCGATCGCCTTGAACTGTTTGAAGATAACTTCGAGCAATGTTAGTAAAGGATTATCGCGTTCATTTGCATTCAAATTCAGAGCAATCAATTGATACGTTGTCTGCCGCACTACCTCTAATAGTTGGGTTTGAATTTGTACACGCAACAACTCCAATGAGTCGGGCACTTTACCCAACATGCCGAAACATTCGACGATAATTGAAATAAAGTAGGTCATACTCAATTCGGGATCAACTAAGTCGGCATCATCAATTACCTCGGACTTCTCAAGATCAAAACCTTGCGCCATTTCCATGAGTGCTTTGCGCACACGTGAATTCGCTTCGATGCGATCTGTGGAGCGTCGCGCCCCAATGCCCCTTGTAAAGCTCGAATTCAGGCGACTGGAATTATTGCGTTGAAAAGTGGTGTATGCTTCTGCGGCAGAGTTTTTGTAGAGTTGTGTCACGAGCTCTTCGTGCAATCGTTGATAAAGTTGTTGGCGTCGCGATTGTAAGTCTACACGCAAATCGGCCAATCCTTCAACATCGCTAAGCGGACCTTGTATAGTTGCTAGCGCATCGGTGAGCGCTTTACTTGCATGCAAATATTGCCGTTTCGCTGTATAGCTGACAACACGTTGAGGCACTTTACGCAATTCGTTGCTAAAAAAAAAAAACAATAAATAAAAACAAATGCCTACGCTCAAGTATTGCAGTGAGACTTACATTTGCTCTAACATCTCCAGCACATACTTATGCTGCACCGCATCGGTCCACATCTTTTTCAGCTCCTCCCTGCGGCACTGTAGTAAACGCTTGCAAGCACCTAAATTTTCTTTCACGCCATGTATGCGTTCTCGACTGGATGTTATCTCTGTTGACACTTGACTGAACAGTGGCAAAACTTGTGTCAACTGCTGATCATGACGCGATACCAACTCGTTCAGGCGCTGATCGGAACGTTTGAATTCCTTTTCGATCTTAAGCTTCTCTTGCTGGCGTTCCTCAGTTGTTTCGCTAAAGCCCAGCGATTTGATGACGTTGACGAGGAAACCGCAGCCGGCCTATGTTTGCAGCAAGGAGTAAAAGAAACATTTAAGAAAATATGATAAGAAATGTATGCTAGGATTAATTGAAAACGCCCTTTATTATTTTTACTGGATTTGACGCGACGGAGCACCGAAAAAAAATCAACTTTTGACAACTCCGCCGATGACAACAGCAAACACCTCTGCTCCACAAACATGGATTTTTATGCTTTTATGTCCATTTCGGGGTTTGGAGATTTTCTTATTTCTATTTCTAACGTTCGCTTACTATTCAAAGAAGCGTTTTTAGATAATTCTATGCACTTTTCTCCAATAATTACCTCATCTTTTCCATATTTAACACCGCGCGGAGGTTTTGTTGGAGGCGACTCGTTCATTTTTCATCTCACTACTGCTGTCATTTCATTGTTGCTGCCGCAGCGGCAGCGACATGCCACGATTTAATGCTGCCAGAGGTTATAAATTTATGATTAAAAATCCAAATTTTTATGATTGCGAAACATTTTTGCTAGATTCAAAAATTAAGGCAGATCATTGAAATTTTTGCTTAAAAAGTCCATTCCTCCTCGTTTCTGACAAAAATCTGGAAAGTGTCAAAATGCTCGATCTGAAGAA